CATTTTTTCAATTTGTCATATTATTGTTATCTCTCTATTCTCACTCTCACTCTCTCTCTCTCTCTCTCTATATATATATATATATATATATATATATATATATATGGGGGTCCATAAATTCTCTTTACAATTTAAAAAATATATTTCAAAGGTTATTGATGAGATTTTTAGTCAGATTTGTTTTACGTACTCAGTATTTATCAGTATTTATTACATTTGTGTATTTCAGGTATCCTCTTGAAACAAGTACTTTTAAATGAACCACTAAAAATGGTTACTCCTGAAGAAAAGGCACAATGTGCGTTAGGATTTATACGCAGACTCAGCGAAACTACAAAACTAAGTATGGATGAGATCCACTGTTAATTTATGCATGAAATTTACGGAGACAGGAACAGTGTTGAAAAAAGTTGTGTGTACTACCAAGAACATCTAAAGAAAAAATCGATCGTGTAACTCGAGTACCGTCTTGATGAGATTCATACAGCTAATGGTGCCCATATAGAGGTGTACTAATTTAATTTTAAAAAAAACTTCAATATCATTTTGTAACAATTTACACATTTGACTCTTCATTTGCTTTTTGTAATGGTTTTTTTTAAACATCCTGTATATATATATATATATATATATATATATATATATATATATATATATATATATAATATCCTGTATATATAATACTTTTCTTGGCATAAAGTATGTCAAAATTTGAACAATTTTTATACACTTTAAGTCCTGAAAATAAAACTTTTATACAAACAAAGGAAAAATTAAATAAAAGCTTAATGGTACAACTTTTTTCAGTTGTCTCTAATGGAACATATATATATATATATATATATATATATATATATATATATATATATATATATATATATATATATATATATATATATATAATGTGACTTCATTAACTATTATTAAGTTTATTATTGGTTTGTATGTTTATACCTTCCATCGAATTATAAATATAAATTTAGAATCGATACTTTACTAAAATGATGTATGAATACGTTATTGTTAGATCCATGTGCATTGCTTTAGGAATTAATAGCTAGATGTTCGTTTCCGATGATATCCGTCTGTAAAATCTCGGTTGTGATGACTTTTGAGTTCGCGCTAACACAGCCATTGAAATGCTCCCGAACAGTTTCTTCCACCGAATTTCACTCATAAGGCTTACGTCAATGCGTGTTGGGTGTTCAGTCATTTTGCAATGGTGCCGCATGTTGGGATTGTTAAATACTTTGACAAACCGGCCATAGTGAGATGCGAAGTCGAATCTTCTACACCCTCGTTTACGCTTTCGTCGATCGGTGAAATAGTCAAATAATTACCACTAGGAATTGTTATAATCTATCTAAATCTTGGACATTTCTTGCTGAATTTTAAAGCCTATCTATTAAAGCCTATGAAACTTTTGCAAAAAAAAAAACATTCTTTTCAAAACACTCTTTATTTATCAATATGTATTTAAGACGTGAAACTAGACTGAAGTGAAAACAGATTTCTATGATGGGAAAATATGAAGCTGAATCAATAAATCTGTAACCTGACACAGTTATAAACTGAATTTTGATCTGAATTTTCCATGTACGATATTCGATCTATGGGATTTATGAAAAAGCATCGGGTTTTATATTGAAGGATATTATGTTGATAAATAAATATTTATTTTGTCAAATAAATGATTTTTTTTCATAATTATATTATGGATTTATTTATATTCGTAACTCTTCCTTGAAGCTTCAATAATTCGTATTCTGAAGTCAATCATAGAGAGAACGAAATCTTTTCTCTCTAACATATAATTCAAATACTACTTAGATAACATGAACATAGATAAAATTATATATACTCATGAAAATTTTGGATAGCATTTATATGCATATTATGAAATTGGAATCTTCCTTGCTGCTTCTAGTGAGTTTATTTACACGTTAGTTCCATAAAAAGTAAGCTTCATTTTCATAGAATATTGCTTTAACATGTGGTTTTGCTCTAGATTTCTCATTGACTTTTCTACTGACAATTCTATTCTTATACGTACTTCCCTTATTGATTAACAAACTTGCAAATAGGCAGATACGGATCGAGTACACTTTACTGCGGACACAAGTACTGTAAAGCGTACATGCTTGCTATGTTTCGTGGTTGAAATAAATTGCCTTCTGTTCTTGCTGCAATAGTAAGAAAAGCTACGTGCGTTTTCTCTTGGCTTATCAGCGACATCATTCGAAAATCAACAAACAGGAAGAGAAAGGACAAGAACAAAAAATAAACATGAATGACATTACCTTTACAGAAATTCGGGTTATTGAGCGTCTAGATGCAACTTGAATATGAATGGGTAGCTGTTTCTAAGATGGTAGAAGCAGCCAAAGCAAAATATAAATGAAAAAAATCTTCTCTAATGATAATGTTTTTTTTCTTGTTCTTTCACTCTTTCCTTCTTTCTTTCTTTTTTCTTTCTTCTTCTCATTTGTTATTATTATTGTTATTATTAATATTTTCCGTGATTGTTATGACAACTACAGCAGTACAAATCCTGTTTGTCGTCTTCATTTTTTTTCACTTGTCGTTATTTTCTACTTGAAATTCCTTAGTTATTCTTCATCATCACCACCACCATCATGATGGTTACTGTACTTATCTTCAATGTATATATATATATATATATATACTTGCCAATTTACGTCATTATATCAATCTCTGTTTAACTTTTCATTCGTTTTAAATATGAAGCTTCCATATTCTTGTCTCATATCTATAATAGAATATCGCAGTATCAATTTCATTATTTTATCGATATTATTGTCATAATAATCTTATTCTTATCTAGCATTCCCATTTCTTTCACTTCTCTCTTAGATGTTCTTTCGTTCCCCTTTGTATGTTTGAACTTCAACTTTTCATCTTTTATTTTCTTTTTTTAACAGTTACTTTATAGTTGCTTTGTTCTTTCTCTTTTCCCTTTTAAAATTTGTTTTCTTTTCTGCAGCAACCAAACATTAATTTTGCTTTGGCTAAAAGACATTATGGTTGATATGGCATTAATCCTTTGGGTGTGTTCTAGGGTCAGGGAAACAGGAGGAACGACACGTTAAGGCGCTGTTTTGCGATCTCTACCCTTTCACTCTGCGCCCTTTCATCCGTTATTTGTTTATTCGGGGTTTTTTTATATTTGTCTCAACGGTCTTAACTAAGCATTCTATTGTATCATTGAATCTGATAGCACAATCTAATCCTAACTGTCAACACACAATGACTAAGTGTGATCACAAATCAGCAATAATCAGAAGCCAACAAAATACATATTCACTATCATCCACACTTTCATTGCCATTTATATAAATATGTTAATCGTAATCTACAGTAATATACATTGCATACATACGTCTTTACAGTGAAAGTACTAATAATCCAACTATATTTTACCTCAATGAACATAAAACTATTATATGACATTTTGCGAAGGACCTGTCATAATTGTACGCAACATAAACTTAAAAGATAAATATTAAAACAAGATGTTTTGTAAAGATTATCTTTAACCCCTTCTTTTTTTATTGTCTTTTTGTTGCTGAGGTTTTGATAGGAAACTTTAAATTTATACAGCTTTTATTCGTATTAAAAATATGAAAAGACAAGTGTATTCAAAACATGTTATAAGTTATTAACACTCTGTTAATAATCTGGGACACTGTCCCAAGGTTTAAAGACGGATATATATATATATATATATATATATATATATATATATATATATATATATATATATATATATATATAAACTTGTACCTAACAAAATTTCAGTTTTAATGCATACTTAAGGCTCTGAAAAATATACGGAAGTTTTACGTGTAACCAGTTATTAGGCTTGTTTTCTTAACTTTACTTAAATAATTTTAGAAGTAATAGTAAGTATCATAATAACGATTTCCTTTCAAACAGCCTTTAATATTTAAATGAATTATTATTACAGTTATTCCAGATCCAAATAAATTTTTGAACCAACTGTTAAAATGGTTCAAACGGATGCGGCGGTTTTCCCCCCACACCCTATAAATGGATGCAACAAAATCCAAGCGAAAAGATTCTCCGAAATAACAAAACACTTCACTTAAACAGCAGCAACATCCAAAACGGGTAGCATTTGTAAATAGAAGAAAAATTGATATAATCGATCTGTTAACTTTGCCCATTACCAAAAACAAAAAAGTTGGAAGAAAACTACCATCAATGAATGCCCAAATGTTTCCTGTATGGAAACTGTTGTTATTGTTACCATTACCGTATATATTCAGCTACACCCTACACACCCACGCAAACTTTTCTCTCAGAACTAGTTTTAAAATTCACATTACACATTCTACTCCAAAATGCGTAACAGGCTTACAATCTGAAGTGACTCCTCGGTCTGAATCTTTGCTAGACAATCCTAATATAAAACATTGGACCAATTCAAACATAACAAAATTAAGCTGTAAATGAAGCACAGTGATATTCGCGCCATCTGCAATAATTTCCCTACAATGAATAGTAAGGTAAAACATTAAAAGATAAGCGTTCAGAAATTCTCGTGCATAAATGGCTTAATTTTTAATATAAAAACAATTGAGAAGGCGTAAAAATAAAGTAGATCTACTCACAATACACATACATCTACGTATATACTTACAACGTTATTACGTGGGAATCATACAATATTATACAGACATATGTCATAAATATGTGTCATTACCCACGTTATGCAAGAAAGAAACCGACTGAATGCTATTAATAATGCAAATGGAGGGAGGGAAGTATTCAACAAAACCAAGGAGCATATCCAAAAATAATCTGATAATCGATATTTCTTCCATAATGCATTTTTCTTGTATAAAAAATGAAAGCAATTGTCTAATTGATCCGAATTATTCGTGTATCAGTGTTTGTAATTTCAATACGTGACTTTCATAATAGGACTGATACTCTCAAAATAAATTCATTCTAACATGTATACGCGCATACGAAAAGACATAGATAGATAGATAGATAGATAGATAGATAGATAGATAGATAGATAGATAACAATACAGTATAAACGGCATGTATGAAGTATAAAAATTTAATTGCCGTAATGACCACAGCTTGTCGATGGGAGAGAGTATCAGGTCAACAATTTTCACACAATCCGGGAATGTTTCATTCGTTGTCAACCAGTAGAGGAAGTTGCATCAGTTCATGTTATAATGTTGGCTGAAAATAAGAGAAAGAAATATGGAGCAGTGGATTAACATTAAGTTTTGTGTAAAAATTAGTAAAAATGCAAGTGAAAATTAGTTCTGTTAAAATTCTTTATGGTGAATATGCTATGAAAAAATCTATTTTTCTTAATGAAACTGCGGGTCTCAAAAATGCAAGAACAGTAGAAATGCTAAAAGTCTTATGAGAATGTTCGGAGGAAATGACTCAAATTCTAGCTTGACCCAAGTATTCTCAACCATGACAATGCTCCTGTTCAAGATATGTTACGACGTTTCAAGTGAAAAGAAATCCATTAAAGAAATGGGACATTCACTTTATTAACCATACTTAGGGCCATGTAATATTTGGCTATCTTCAAAATTAAAAATTCCCTGAAAAACAGTTCTGCTGACATTACTGACATCCATCAACACGAAACTACATTGCTGAAAATTATTCCGGAAACGAGTTCCAAGAATATTTCCGGCAATGCGTATAGCTTCTCACCAAATGCATAGCGTCCAATACTTATTTAATGTTCAAACATTTATATATATATATATATATATATATATATATATATATATATATATATAGATAGATAGATAGAGAGAGAGAGAGAGAGAGAGAAGAGAGAGAATATAAGTAAAAGGTTTCTCATTTAGCTGATTAATGCGACCTTCAGCATCTCGATTCCAGAGTCTCGTAGACGGATAAACTCATCGTCCACTCGTCAGGGATTATCATCAATTGACCGCTTACACACACACATATACATATATATAAAGAAGATGAAGAAATATAGTTTTAAGGTGTGCTCTATTTATGGGATAAAGTGCTCAATATCAGAAATAGAGCGTATGTAAATCTAACGATTGCGTCTAGAATAAAACAACCTGTCGCCTCTGAGTGTTGACTTCATATTTAATTATACTTTATATATTTAATATATACATATATATATATATATATATATATATATATATATATATAAAAACACTGTAATGCACCAACTGAACCACACATACACACAGTGTAATGTTCACACACACACATACCATACACAGATAGACGTTTGCACATATGCAAATATTGCAGCTATAATATAAACAAGAAGCACAACTGACAGAAAAATACGATATGGTTTGTTTAACAAGTTGAGTAATAATCTGAAATTCCAGAAGAATTATTTTCTGTCACAAATGCCACGATCGCAATGTTTATTTTCACAAATAGCATGTTACATACATTTAATAACTAGCCAGAAAACCCATATATACATTTCCAGACATTCCACTTTATGAAATATTGCACGAGATTTCTATTAATACAAGTAAAGCATTTTCGTATAAATATAGCCCAGTTTACATTCACTAATATAATCAACAAGATTATACAAATACATATTTACAAATACAAATTTAGTAATTAAATTTATATTAACTCTTGTAAGTTGCATTACATGTGTTTATAGAATTGTCCGCAAAAAATTATAAATATGATTTTGTTACATTTCTTTTGGAAATAGATTCGTGTCAATATGTTCTATTTTCCTAACTTCGATTAATCTTTTCTCTTCGGGCCAAAATAAAATTAATCTATAAAATTGTTTTAAACTGAGAAAATATCTTCCTTGAATAACTTATCAGTTAACTATAATATGTGAAGCGTCTTACAGCAAAAAATAGTTAACAGCAAACGTTGAAGATAATTCGTTAAACAATAGCGATATGACTCTACGGATCAATTTCAATGCGTTTGAAGTCAAACAGAAAACTACGAAATCATATCTGTTAAAAACTCGACTTTGTCTTTATTACTGCCTCACCAAATCTGGAACATGAAAAGAATATGACGCTCTAGAAATGTTTTCTTGATCATATATAGCCATCAATAGTAAAGTTTGAAGTCTTCTTTGGAAAAGAGTGATGAGGGAAGACGTGTCTTAAAAAGAGAACACTTTTTATGCGAAAAGGCCACATATCGTTACGTTAATTGATTCAAGCAACAAAAAAATGAGATTCTCTGATTACGAATGCAGTGAATTTATTTGGAAAAATGATAAGAGCAATAATGAAAAAGCCTGCAAAAGGAAAACGTCACAAAACACGTGGGATGATGATAAAGCAAATACAACGTGAAAAAAGAGAGTAACACAAATAATGAAAATCAAAAACAAATTAAAAGCTTAATCAAACATTAATAGATTTAATTAAGCTGAAACAGATAATTGATTAAAGAAGAAAAAAAATTAAAAGTGAAGTATTATTAAGAAAGAGCAAATCAAGGTAAATAGGACAAGAAGGAAAACTACAATAAAGATCAGCAAAGAGATTTAAAAAGCATCAAATGTGGTAATAAGAAACTTGATTGGGGAAAGAAAACAGCAAGTAGTCCAGAATTGTTCTAATGTCACTCTCTCGATTAAAAGCAATAAAAATGGAAAATACCATCCTTAGAACCAGAAGGGTGATGAAAAACTAGCAAATACACAAAGATGTTAATTCGGTAGAGTTTACTTTCCTTACGACTGAAAATAGTGTGCATATTTTGTTGGAAGACAGTTGATGTCTATTTCCTCTTAAAAACGCGACAGCGATGATTTTTTTCTTTCATTATAGACACTTTACGGTTTTCAGTTCTTCCTCCTGAAATGCTACTAATCTTTCAATGCTTATAATTGTCATCCTAATATGCAAATATTATTACTGGCCCAATCAACATTATGGTTGGTTGTTTATTTGTTTGTTTCTCACGAATATCTCTGCAGACAAAATATTGTTTGAGGCTGATTGAATCACAGTAACCAGCTTCATAATGACTTCCCTATTGATCGTTTAGCTCAACGAGGAAAAATATTTGTTTTTAAGACAAAAATATAGCTGCAGGGAGCGATAAAAATGTTTAAGGTCTGGCAAGGGGGTTATATTTGAAATATTGTGTCAAACGATGATTGGCCAATGAGAAAAACAATGCAAATATATGAGTAGGCAGAGGGTTGTAGTAGCAAGAGATTCTTTCAGTTGAATCTAAGATGTTGTAACGAGAGGACACAAATTAAGAACAAAGTTTTGTTGGCACAGACGTCTTTAAAACGACGTATATGTGCCAAGCAAAAGGTGTGAAATTTGGAAACATTGGAATGGACTGTTAACAAGAGAAGAGTTGACTTAATACTAACGGAAATCTGAAAGAAAAAAACCTGTACTTCAGTTAAGTACTGGATGCTTTCCTTATTTTCTGTGAATCCAAAGACAATAGTACTTTGCTTTTGTTAAGGCTATGAGCAGCTGTTTCCAAAATATTATAAATATTTATATTGATATCACGCTTTTACGTTTACGGCCCACATGTTAGATACATTTATTTATATTAATTTATGCTGTGGGCTAGAATATGCATTGAGGATAACCCAACATTTAACACTGAAATCTCATACTTCCATCGCTTCTCTTGCACGAAATAGTGCAGTGAATTATTATTATTATTATTATTATTATTATTATTAAGCTCATATTTCTTGTATACGAATGTTTATACCTCAAACTACATGAAGAATTTTTATTTTCCTGTAAACTATCAACAAAATCATGGTTCATCCAACGGATAAACATTTAATACTTTTAACAGTTATAGCTTAATTCGTACTTCATGAGATACCCAAACATTGTGGAAATAGAATTTTAGGTTCTTAATGTCCAAACTATTTATTTTGTGTGTGTTGATATTTTTCATCATTTATAGATCTTAGTTCAAGACAAAATCTATTCTCGTTTTTAAGTGAAATCAAAGACAATATTTGGATATTTGTATATAGATTTATTCCACCACATATGTTCAATTTTATTCCACTATCTTCACCTTTCAGAATATATATATATATATATATATATATATATATATATATATATATATATATATATATATATATATATATCAGGTCACTTATGAAATGAAATGCCATGTTCAAATGTCACCTATTGAAAAACGCTACAAACTATATATATATATATATATATGTATGTGTGTGTGTGTGTGTGTGTGTGTGTGTGTGTGTGTGTGTGTGTGTGTGTGTGTATAAATTGGTAAAATAAAGAGTGATAACTAAAAAGTTAATAGAAAAAAATGCTTTATTATTACTCGAGATATAAATACATTGATATACTGCTGTTTATTGTCAATGGGGACATATAAGGATCTCATTTTACAAATTGATATTTTTTAGTTTTCATCTTCTTTCCTCCCTCGACAGCTTGTTATCTTTTATTTTTGTTTCTTTTTTGTTCAGTTCCAATTTTTTCTTCCTCCCTCAGAGCCTAACATTGCATCCGTTACCGGCGCATATAATCTTCAGTTTAAAGAGTCAAGTTGTCTAACGCTAAAAGACAATTTAGTTTTCTGGAAGCTAATTGTTGAAGGCCCCGAGGCAAGATTACGATGAGTCAAATCAAAACATTGCGACATGATATAAGTGGTTTGGGGTTGATGTTACGCCTACGGCTCTTGCTCTCTACACAATCGTTTGAGGTCGGCCATGTCGCTTGAGCGGGAATAATTCCATTTCTTCCATTGGTGCCTATTATTTGAATCATTTCACCCACAGCAGTAATTTTCCAAATCCCTCACGTCAGCCTTAGAATGATGAAGTAGCAATTCCTCCTTTCTCTTCAACATGTCTCTTCAAATAAGGCTTCTTTTCACGTCTCTCTTCTTTTTCTCCTTTCTTACCCCATGTTCTCATTGATACTCAGAATAATGAAACGTTTTTATACATCTTCGTGTAATGAAAAATCGCGCTAACAGAAAGTAACTGGGGAACAGTGAAATAAAGCCGATCGAATATCTAATTCTTAAGTCTGATCCT